AAAATCAGGGTGACCAGGGCTAATCTATTTAAAGCTAATAGTCCTGAGGTCAGCAGGGCTTCACCCCTTACATACACCCTGGACTTCCCAGGACAGCCCATGGTCATTTTGTCTGAGCACAGAGACGGGCATTTGCTCCCAAGAACTCTAAACCTTACACCTATATCCTGAATGAGTTCACACAGTGACCCAAGGTAAAGGAACAGTTTTGGTTAACTCAGCTCCATCAGCTTCTTTACAAAAATGATAAGTAATGTACATTCTTCTGAGGTTTACCTGAGTCGTGCTGGACATGTTTACATATACCCTGAAATTCCATAATATAAATACGAGTACTAATACATTGCATGGTGGACGAGAACCACCTCCTGAGATAGCAAGTCAACTGGGGTTGTGTCTGGTTTAAAAACTGTAGTTTGTTTGTCTTCTTGAAATGAACATAAACATCTAAAGACTTCATCCTTTCTTGAACAAATGGAAAAATATAACGGCTGTTTGGCAGTTTATATTCTTTCTAACGATTTCATACTCTGGATGGTTACCACCCACTAATTCTCACCCCTTCCAGGAATAAGTGATTCCTGAAAGAAATCGGGGAATTACTTTCTGCTGATGTTCTCTCTCCTTTCTGTTTAATCTAATCTACCAAACAAGGATGATTCCATTTTAAAATTGTGAAAAAGCATGTGTTTTGAGGTCTCCTAGATTAAATGGGAGGATTGGGAAACTGTTTTAACTGATGCTTCAGATGTTAAGCAATTTGAAAAATCTGTTAACTATTCACAATATGAAGAAGGTCCTTTATGGACTAAAACCAAATTTCTACTTAAAGAAATCTATTCTCACTATTTACAGGTATTAGAAACAAACAAACAGAAAAAACTCTCAAGTGTGTCAAGACTGTGATGTCACGGTGCTTTGGTCCCACCACAGTGGAACCTAAACCTACTTACTGTACAATTTTATTTTAGAGAAATGACTGTCCACTGGCCACACTCCAGAAGAAGAATTTGCTATGGGTTCCTTTGATGTTGCTGGGCTAACTCACTAATACACTACCAATGTACTGCTTTAACTGATGATTGGAACTCAGCTCTCCAGGGGGGAGCAAGGGAGGGCTGTCACAGATGGGGAAGAGGAGATGCACACCATAACCTTTCCTGGTGCCAATCTGTCTTCTATGAATCTGAGGACAGAGCAAATGAATGTCGTTGGTCTCAATAATTCAGATCACTTGAGGTGAGTTAACCACTTCAGAGATTCTGGGATGGCTAACAGCCTTGGTGTGACCCAACCCTTCCATTGTCACCCTATTGAACTAGGGACCCCAGACCCTGGAAGAGCTGGGCTATGGCTATTATCATGTCAAAAGTCTTCTCCTTCTGGAGAAAACAAGTACTTGGAACATGAGCCATCAAAGCTCAAGATTTAAGAAGGGGATGAAAAAGTAAAAAGCCCAAAAAGCTCTGGCCAGTGTTGCTCAGTGGTTAGAGTGTTGGCCTGGAGACCGAAGGGTCATGGGTTCGATTCCGGTCAAGGGCACGTACCTGAGTTGCAGGTTCCATCCCCAGCCCTGGTCAGGGTCATGAGGGAGACAACAAATCAATGTGTGTCTCTCACATGAATGTTTCTCTCTCTCTCTCTCTCTCTCTCTCTCCCTTCCTCCTTCCCTCCCTCCCTTCCACTCTATCTAAAAATCAGTGGGAAAATATCCTCAGGTGAGGATTAACAACAACAACAAAATTAAAAGCCCAACTAAATATAACCAAGTAAACCAAAAGATAGTCACTCCTTAATAAGCAGTTTGGTTAAGTGCACCTTCAGGTCTACAAAAACATTTCAGCGCATTACCGTGCGGGAGAAAGGGCTGTGCAGACCGCTCGCCCGTGCCGCAGAGTCCCTGGCCTCCATTCTTCCCGACCGGGCAGCAGCGAGCCGCAGATGGAGAAGCAGATCCATCTTCCCCACACCACCCAAACCCACAGCAACAACTCATCCCCAACCCCGGGCCGGCAGGCTCACTGCATGCAGCACCTTTTCCTGTCACACGTGCAGAAGCATCGCCAGTCCAGCATCTAACTACGAGAGGTATACCAGGTAGCCAGAGTTCATCTCATCAGGCTTGGTCCCGTTTTCCTCATCCTCTGACCCATCCACCCCACAGCACTGAGTGGATTATTGCTGTTGACAGAGTGCAGCGTTCCCGGTTCTGTGTATCCTAGACCTCGGAGTCTAACTAAAAGATCAAGATCTCCGCAGAAATTTGGAAAAGGTTGGCATTTGTTCCCAACAGGGGACTTCAAAGCAGGTAGGAAAGGACTAGCCAAGATGAATCAAGGATCGAAAGAGAAGGAAACATCACAGGGGAGGGTGTATGCCCTGTGGTCAGATGCGTGCGGTCCTTGGCCCCTCGTCTTCCATGATGTTACATTAGTTTTACACATTCACAGAGCAGCCCAGGAAAAGGAAATATCCATGTTCTTTCTTTCAACCGAGTGAGCCAACCTGGGTGGTACTCTAGTTTCTTCGTTTATTGCCTCAGTGTTAGTTCTAGGACAGGGTGGGGTAAAAGATGGGGGTAACAGAGAAGATTTCCAGAAGAAGCAGGGCAGAGATGCAAGGTGGTCAGCAACAGGCGGCCACATGCTAAGTGCAGAACGAGGATCCCCACTCGGTGTCCTTAAAAAGGCAGTGAGTGCCTCTCCGTGGTGGGCAGCTGCTGGGCCCCAGAGGCCTGTCTCGTGTAGCTCTCTTTCAGCTAGGCATAGGGTCCCAGTGTTCTCTGGGCTGGTGCTGGGAGGTGCTCGGCCTGTGAAGTGACTGTCAGGTGGCAAGATCAGAGGAGCATCACAGGGAGTATGAAGGGAGTGGACCAGGAGGGAGGGCCTAGGAAATGTTACTATGAACTGAGTGTTCCCATATTCACAATGTGCCTGGAAAGATCAGACTCTCAGAGATCTGCAAAGCGCTGCTGCTAAGACAGGAGGAACGGGGACATGTGCAAGAAACACTACACTGGACCCGAGGAAGCTCTGAACGTCCAGAGTGGCCCTAGATGGGAAACGAACTCCCAAAAGTTTATCTTGGCTTCTGATGGAGAAGAGGAAAAAGACAAGTTCATGGTTCATGTCCACTTCGAAGCTGGGTCTCAGGTCCCAGTTTACATCCCACATCAGGCTGCCAAAGGGACTCGGTCGGGTGGATGGCCAGCGAACAGCACCCTCCTGGCTCTCTCCTCTCCAGGGTTCAGGACGGTGTGGTCTTCTCACAGTGGTGTAGTGAGACAGCGAGGATGGAAAAAGCAAAAGCAAAATATCTGTGCCCCAACCCTTCCTCCCTTTGTTACATAACTTCTCAGCTGTGTTAATGGAGGCACTTTCTGCAGTTCACTGTGGGTACAGGATAAAGGCACTAAGCAACTATTAAATCAATTGGTTAAGTTTCTTCAGGGTGACTCAAGGGAAGGGCCAAAGTCTCTACAGACTTCAGAATATGACTGCAAAAAGAAATCAGCTCTGCTTTGGATGCATACAATAAACATTTTCATTTACATCTTAGGAATGCACCAGAAAACATGCAGTATTGCACCTTTGTTTGTTTGTTTTGCTTGTGTTTATCTTCAGCTAGAAATAATACTTGTTCTTAGGTGTTGCTATATATACCTTGATGTCTTATTTAGTTTTCCATATAGCTTCCCTTTAAGGGATGGACATATTGGTCCTCTTTCTGCCTACACCTGCACAGAAACCTGACATTTCCCTGAGCAAAGGCAGGAAAATTGACTGGGTGCCCCCCACCCCCACCCCCACCCACCATTATTTCTTTGGGCCCTTCATCCCACAAACTTGTAGTTTTTATTATTTTTTTATTTTTTTTTTTACTGAAATCATGCATTAATTAATTCAAGGTACACCTTAATCAAATAGGCCATAATGCTGAATAAGAAAACATGCTTTGAGCTCCAAAAAGTTATTGTTCCCATCTGACTAACATATGCACTTAAATACAGTACTTTATTTACTAATAAAATAGTTAATAAATAAAGGAGTGCACTTTTGGTGAATGCAAATGAAAAAGGATCTATTTTTAGAAGAGTTGATTCAAACATAAGCTTATCCCCTATTGTCTGAGTTAACGTTCTCGGCATGCGATTATAAAATAAATATCAGAATCAAACATGCTTACATTTAACTCCATTTGTGCTCTCTTGCAATAAGGAGGCTAAGGTTTTACATCCAGTTCTGGAGGCCAGGGATCAGGGTACAGGACCAGTGAGACAAGACCTGTGTTGGGCTCACCTGCAGTTGAGAAACTTAGCAGCACTGCAGATGAATCAACTAATTTAATTCAGAATCTTTTTCTTAGAGAATAGTTTGAATAGAAGGAGAATGAAACTGAGGGAGAATCCCTAAAGACCAGGACCAGCACCAGATTGATAAGGTGCTTTGTGAACCAGTCTTAAGTAATTTTGCTTTTTTTTTTTCCCCCATCTTATAATGTGCAGTTCAGTTGATGAAAATAAAGACATTTGTTCATTGTCCATTTTGGCTGGTATATCATGTTACATATCATCAAATGCACTGTCTTATATGTGTTGTGCAGTTTGCAAAGATTTTTTCTTTGGAGTCCCATGCAACTTTTAATTTTATATTTCTAAGTGGTCATCTGGTTTTTAATTAAAAGAAAAAAGTTAAAGCCCAAGGATTACCAATGTTTCAGTATGGGGAAGCATATGAATCTTATTTTACCTAGACTAGCTTATGGACTGAATTTTTTTAAACCAGTTTTATAAAATACACTTTCTTTTCCCATTTTAAATAAAATGAAAATAGTTTTTTTTTTTGTTTTTTTCATGGATCTTGAAAGCTTCTGGTTGGTCACCCCCAACATCCACAATGCAACAATGCATTGGCATTTAACAGTGCATTCAAAGACTAGTCAAGTAGCGACAAAGAATGGCATGGGTCACCAGGGTTTTTGTTTCCTGTTTTAAGTCTTTCAAGCTGCTAAGTGGGGCTTTTTTGTTTGCTTGGCTTTTTAAACATCGGTCAGTAGCTTGCTCTTATTAACACAGTTTTGGTTAGCTGCTGTGCAGTTCCCAGTTCTGATACTGGTCTGTCTGTAATGGGCAATGCTATTATTCATATCCTCTTCGATCTCCATATACTCAGATTTGCTGAGAGTAGAGGAACTGCGCCGACTGAGGTCACTGTCAGAGGCTAAATTAGGGGAGCTAACGTGGAGCAACTGAGCCTGCTCTTCCCCCTCAGTTTCTCGGTGGTAGAAATAGTTGAAATTGGACACAATGACAGGTACGGGCAGGGCAATTGTCAGCACACCAGCGATGGCACACAAGGAGCCCACGATCTTGCCTCCAATTGTCACAGGGTACATGTCACCGTATCCTACAGTGGTCATGGACACCACCGCCCACCAGAAAGCATCGGGGATACTGGAGAAGTGCGACTCAGCTTCTTCCGCCTCGGCAAAGTACACTGCACTAGAAAACAGGATGACCCCAATGAAGAGGAAAAAGATGAGCAGCCCTAACTCTCTCATACTAGCTTTGAGGGTCTGGCCCAGGATCTGGAGGCCCTTAGAGTGGCGGGACAGTTTGAAGATTCTAAAAACCCTTACCAACCGGATGACCCTGAGGATGGCCAGCGAAGTGGCCTGCTCGCCCTTCTGGTTCCCCTCCTGCTCAGCTATCTCGGTGCCCAGCGTGATGAAATAGGGGATGATGGCCACGATGTCGATGAAGTTCATGATGTTTTTGAAGAAGTCCGCCTTGCTGGGGCAGGCAAAGAAGCGCACCACCAGCTCAAAGGAGAACCAGATGATGCACAGGGTTTCCACGATGAAGAAGGGGTCCGTGAAGATGTTGGAAGTGTAGATGACCGTGGTGTTGTCGATGCGGTGGACGGTACCTGTGAAGTCCTTGTCGTCCTTCAGCTCAGGTAGAGTCTCCAGGCAAAAGATGACGATGGAGATGAGGATGACCATCACCGAGACGATGGCGATGACTCGGGCGGGCCCGGAGCTCTCGGGGTACTCGAAGAGCAGCCACACCTGGCGCTGGTATTCCTTCTCTGGCAGGGGGCGCTCCTCCTCCTTGATGAAGCCCTCGTCCTCCCGGAACTTCTCCATGGCCTCCTCGCCCAGCTCGTAAAATTTGATCTCCTCGGAGAACATGTCCAGGGGCACGTTGACCGGCCTCCGCAGCCGGCCCCCGGACTGGTAGTAGTAGAGGATGGCGTCGAAGCTGGGCCGGTTGCGGTCGAAGAAGTACTCGTTCCGCAGGGGGTCGAAGTAGCGCATGCGTTTCTTAGGGTTGCCCAGCAGCGTGTTGGGGAACTGTGCCAGGGTCTTGAGCTGCGTCTCGAAGCGCAGCCCGGAGATGTTGATCACCACGCGTTCGCAGCACTCGTGGTCGTCGTGGTCGGTCGGCCGGGGGTAGCTGCCATCCTGGGGGTGGCCTGGGGTGGCCGACGCCTCGTCCACGTTCTCCCCAGACATCACCGTCATGGTGGAAGCCGGGTGCAGGGGTGAGAGACCAGGCGAGGGCCCGGGGTGGGAAGGACGGAGAGAGGAGGGGTGGGGGGGACCCAAGTGCCCCCCCCACCGGAATGCTCTTCTCCCCCACGCTCAGCGGGAGAGGGGCCTTAAAGCGAGCAGGTCTAGAGATCTGCGACTTTGCTTCTAGTTGCCTTCCCCTCCACCCTGCCTTTTGCTAAGTTTGGACTACCCCTCGCCTGCAGCCCCGCGTGCAGCTTTTTTTGCGGAGGGTTGGGATGGGGGAAGGGTTGGTGTTTCGTCCTGCTCCGAGGTGCCTTAACGCAGTGCTGTTCTAGAGGGCCAGGCCATGGCTTCGGGGGGCACCCTGGCCTCCCCTCCCCTCAGCGAGCCCTCCTAGGACTGGGTGCAGAGCCAGCTCAGCGGATCCCCTCGCCTGATACCCCCTCTGCTTCTCCTCGGCTCTACCCCCTCCTACCCCTCTTCGCCTGCCGCCTTCTAAGCTCCCACCAGGGCGATCGATGGACGCTGCAGAGAAATAGAAAGTGATACGGGAGTAGAAAATCAGAAGCATTCAGATGGGACGGACCTACAGACACCGAAGACCACAGACCTCTAGCTTTTTTTTTTTTTTTTTGAAAGCACTTGACTCTTGATGGACAGACACACAGACAGACACACGCAGACACCCGGCAATCCAAGTTTGGGGCTCTTCCATCCCACTTTCCCCAATGCCCAACAGCCGATCTGTTTACAACTTCGTTAAACTAGAGATCGGAACAGCGCCGAGAGACGCTGGGGGAGCTCCAGGTCCCAGGCAGCATCCCCGCACCCTCAGCTTCCCCCACCAACACCCCAATCCCCGCTTCTGCAGCCCCGAACTGGGGAGCCCCCTACCTGGCCGGCCGGCTTGGCGCAGGGGCGGTGCTGAGTCGGCGGAGAGCCCGAGTCGAAATGCGGCAGGTCGCTTTTGCAGTACCCAGGCAGGAGCCGCGGCCGCGGCCACGGCAGCAGCGACATCCGAGAGACTCCGGGGCAAATTCGCCGTCCTCGCCCTCTAGTCCTACGCTCCTTCAGTCGGACAATCGTTTTTCTGAGCAACTGCGGGGGAAATGTCCATTCCCTATCCCCATTCTCACCCGCTGTCAGCAACCTGGAGATGCCGTCCTCGCGCTGGTGCAGGGAGTTCCGGAGGATACCGGGCGGAAAAGCAAAATTCCACCCTCTCCAGAAGCTCCGAAGCAAATGATGATAAACAGCACTCTCGCCCCCTCCGAACACTATGGGAGCCCCGGATTCGATCCCGAAGGAAGCGGGCGAGCAAAAGCCTGGGTCTACATGGTTTTCAGGTGCCCTCCGCTTCCCGCATCCCCGCGTGGACCTCGCCAAGGCTGCGCGACACGCCGGGAGCTGTTAGGAGCGCCGAGTGGGGCAGGGTGCGTGCGGCGGCTGGTCCGCTCGGTCCATTTCTGGGCGCTGCAAGATCAGCAGAAACCTGAGAAAGCGCCTGGAATGCGGAGCTGCGATTGGCCCACCAGGGCGTAGGTTGGGGAGGGTGGGGGAGGGCAGGAGCGAGGAGGTAGATGGAAAATATGAGGGGGTGGTTCCACAGAGGGGGGTTGGCATTCGGTTCCCACTCTTGCCAGCACAGCTTTTCCTTCTGTCAGAAAAGACCACCGATTCTACTTCCATATGGTCCGCAGCCCCGCACGCGCGCGGTCCCTGGCCATGACCTTCCCCGGGAATTTCTCATTTCAGATGGTCAAGTCCGACGCAGTGCAGGCGGTGGTGTTCCTGGCAAAACTCCTCGGATGGGGTTGCGTTTGTGCAGTCCCATAATAATCCGCTTTGGTCGCCACGTTCGGCGTGCCATCTCGTCCTCTCCCAGGCCGCTCTTTGCAGAGCCGACCCAGCTCCCCCCCCACCGGACTCGGAGAGATACGCACTTTGGGTAGAGGTCTGCAGCTGAGGATCACCTAGGTTTGTTTTAGGCAGTGTTACTGCGAGACGGTGATGCTAAGAGTGTGTCCCTCTTTGACCTACGACGGGAGTTGGAAGTTTTCTTAGGATCAGATTATTTTCAAATACAGAGTATGGGTAACCACCAAAGGCTTCGTGGGCTTGTGGGGTTGTCTGCCAACTTGGTGCTAATGGGGACGAATTTGAGAAGCAAGTCGCCTGCCCACCTCCCACCTATGTTCCACCTCCCGCAGCTTCTTTCCCCGGCCTGGTGCCTCCACCGGGCCACTTGCAAGGCTTGCGGCATCTTCGGGGAAGGGTCCGCATGGAGGCGCAGGGCAGCACGAGGCAGGGCGTGCGCGGTGCACGGAGTGCGGCTCCAGCGGTGCCCCCGGGGGCGCTGCGCCTCCGCGGCCGCAGCCCGAGAGCCGGCAGCCAGCAGAGCCCGTACTTCAGATGCGGCGGAGTCTCCAAGGAGGCTGCAAGAGCCCGGCGCCGCTGCTGATTGGTTCCGCCTGCTGCATTGGACCACCCCTTCGCACCACCACGGATCTTGTTGCCGCCTGCCTACACCACCCACCTCTTTAATCAAAGCCAATGGCTGCATGCTCCCCGCTCTCTCTTGGCTAGTAGAAAGCAGGAGCCTCGGCGGGTTGCCCAGGCAGTGCAATAATCCTGGGTACGGAACTAGTCAACCCTCCTTCAGATTCAGACTCCAGCCTTCTTTTCAGCAAAATAAAAGTATTTGTTCTCTCCACTCCTCCGGATCCATACCCCAGCCTTTCTTTTAAGAACAAAGCTCTGCCCTTTCTCCACCTTCCAGATACATAGTCTACCCCACTAATTCTACCTTTCTGTACTACGGCTTTATTGCTAAATAAATAAATAAAAGAAAAAGAAAGCAAGAAAATATAAAGCTCGGCTGAAATTCTGTCAATTCCCTTGTTTTTGTCGCTGCTGCTGCTATGATCGCAGCTGCTGCTGTTACAGCCCTATCTGAAATAACCCTACTTACTACACATGATACCTATTTTCTGACCATGCCCTGGGTTTCCCTTCCCTGCTCCTGTACCTCCCTCTCCCTTCCTTCTTTTAAATATTTCTGCAATTGTCATCTCCCAAGCCTCCTGCGGATGCACTTGCCCTGATTCAGCATTTGGCCATTGCTTTACTAGAAAAGATTCACAGACTGAGTGGGATCACATGTTACTAAATTCAGAGTTCTATTTGGGGGGGGGTGCATAATAAGATCAGGAGGTTTTCAGCATCCCTAGCAGATGTGTTTAGCGCAGGACTGGACCTCTAAGGAATTGGAAGAAAGTTGTTGAACTGGGAACTCACCACTCTTTATGCAAGCCCACCGTTGCTAAGGGGTTGAAGATATTTATTCATTTAACAAAGACTTGCTCAGCCCCAGCCATGTGTCAAACATATGGCAACACTGGAGACACAGTAATAACTAAGGCACACTAGGTCTCAAACCTCACGTAGCTCATATTCTGGTTGGGGAACAGACAATGAACAAATAAACCACCTATTATGATGTTAGGTAAAAAAATTTAAGAAAAAGGGACAGAGACAGACAAATACAGATTTACATGGCTAGAAAGGGCTTCTCTGTGGAGATACTATTTTCACAAAGAACTTCTAGAAGAGACAGAGCAAGGAATAGGAAGATCAGAAGAACAAACGGTCCTAAGAAGGACAAGCTTAGCATATTTGGGAGACAAAAGAGGACCAGTGTGGCTAGAAAGGAGTGACCACGGAAGACTGTTGTAGAAGGTAGGTTGGAAAAGTAGGCAGGGCCAGCAAGTACAGGGCCTAGGCCACTGTAAAAATATTTTATTTTATTCTGAGTGCAATGGAAGCTGTTGGAGGACTTGGATCCACGAAGTAATATAATATGATTTACTGTTTTAAAATATTATTCTGGCTACTGGAAACGAGGCATGAGGTTGGAGGTTATTAAGTAGCACAGGCAATAATGGCTCAAATAAGGAAGATGGTGGTAGGCTAATGAAAAGGGATTGGCATAGGGTTACATTTTATAAATAGAAATGGTAGGATTTGGGATGTGGGGAAAAGAAATGTTTCCTAGGTTTGTAGCCTTAGTAACGAGGTAGATGGTGATGTCATTTACCGGAGGAGCGGATTGGATAGCCAGAATATGAGCTACCCCAAATCTGGTATCTTGTGTGTCTTAGTTATTACTGTATTGGGCAGTTGGGGGCCCCTCTTCAGCTTCTCTCTGCCTCTCCATTCTTCTTGCCCATGGCCACTTGCACTGCATCAGCTGCTGCTAAAACAGCTAGCTTCGTGTGGGCAGCAGAGTTCCGCTTCTTGAGGTTGACCACAAAAAATCCAGGTGAACAGCACAGCCAGGTGGAGGCATTAACTCAATGGACCAGTGGTGGTTTGCCCAGTAGGAGATATGAGATAGGTTGAAGCCTTGAGATAAATTCCCCCTCCCTTTATTCATATCAGGGACAAGAAACCACATGGTCTAGTGACACGGCTGCATCTCTTTGCGGCTCACGAAGCAGTGGCAAGCTTGGTAGCTCACCATCTTCATTGCACACTATCCTTCTTATGCTACTTTCTTTCCCCTTACTCTCAGTCCCCCAGGGATCACACCTGCCATTAAAGCACAAGTCCTGTCTCAGGTTTTGTTTCCTATGGAAACTGAGCTGAGGGAGAGGGAACCCAAACATCAGTTTGAGACATGTTAAGTCTGAGCTGTCTGTTAACAATCCAAATGACAATGTTGATAGGAAGCTGGGCATATGAACCTAGAGTTCAGACGACTTGGTAGATGAAGGTTTCTCAGCCTTGATACTGTTCACATTTGAGCTGGTACTTTCTGGTTGTGGAGGGTATTTTTTGTTATGTTGCCCTGTGCATTTTAGGATATTCAGCAGTTTCCCTGGCCTCTACCCTGAGTTGACAGCAGCACCTGCTCCCAGTTGTGACAACCAAACATGTCTTCAGACATTACCAAATGTCTCTTGGAGGGCAAGGTCACCCACATTGGGAACCACTGGGGTAGACGGTAGTGACGCCAGAGTACTGAGCCAGAGTACTTGC